CCTCCTGAAGTGGGGGGCCCAAAACTGGACACAGTACTTCAGCTGCAGTCTCACTAAGGCTGAGTAAAGCAGAAGGATGACATCCCTGGTTTTGCTTGAGATGCACTGGTGGATGCATGCCAGAGTTTGGTTTGCTTTGCCAGCTACAGCATCACATTGGTGGCTCATGTTCATTTTGTGGTCAGTCAAGACCCTCCAAGACTCTTTTGATCGTGGTGCTAGCAAACATAGTATTGCCGAGCCTATAAGTATGCTGCTGGTTTTTCCTCTCAAAGTGGAGTACCTTGCACTTCTCTATGTTGAGTGCCATCAGATATTGGTCCACCCACCTTACAGGCCAACCTGGACAGGCTTGCATCCCCAGCCTGTCCTCCAGTGTGCCCATCTTCCCCCATAGTTTAGTGTCGTCCATGAACTTCACCAGTCCACATCTGATGCCTGAGTCCAGATCATTAATGAAGACGTTGAAGAGTACTGGCCTGAGTACTGAGCCCTGAGGGACTCCACTGGTCACCTTGCACCATGTTGATTTCCTCCTGTCAACTATTACTCTTTGGGTCCGACCCCAGAGCCAGTTCCCCAGCCATTGGACTGTGAGATGGTCAAGGCCGCAGTTCCCCAGCTTAACCACGAGGACTTCATAGGAGACCAAGTCAAAGGCTTTCTTGAAATCCAGATATATGACATCAGTTTCATCTCCATTGGCCAGGCAGTGTGTCACCTGGTCATAGAAGGAGACAAGGTTGGTCAGGCAAAACCTTCCAGCAAAGAAGCCATGTTGGCTGGCACTCAGAAAATTTGCCTTCTGTTAGCCTGTTGCTGATGGAACCTTTGATGATTTTCTCCAGGATCTTTTTCAGGGATGGATATCAGACTTATTGGCCTGTAATTCCCTGGATCTTCCTTCCTTCCTTTCTTTCTTTAAGATTGGGGCCATGTTGGCTCTTTTCCAGTCATCCAGTACCTCTCTTGAGCACCACAGTTTCTCAAATATCTTTGCCATAGGGTGTGCTATGATATCTGCCAACTCCTTCAGGACTCTCGGGTGCATTCCATCCAGGCCTATGAATTTATGGATATCGAGCCTCTTAAGGTGTTCCCTCACTTGATCTATGTCAATTGTGGGACCATCTCCCACACCCTGGATACTTTGTGTCCTGTCCAACATGGTGACTCACTTGGGCAGATGGAAGACTGACACAAAGTAATCATTTAGGAGATTGACCTTTTCCTGAGCACCAGACGTCAGCTGCCCCATTTGATTTAGCAGGGGTCCAATGCTGTCTTTGTTTTCTGACTTCCCACATATCTGAAGAAGGCCTTTTTGTTGTTCTTGATTTCCGTGGCTAGCTTGAGTTCGGTTTCTGCCTTGATTATTCTGGTCTGCTCTCTACAGATGCAGGATAGTGCTGTGTAGTCCTTCTTGGTGATGATTCCCGTTTTCCATCTGGTGTAGGCCTCTCTTTTTAGTTTCAGGAGGTCCAAAAGTTGCCTATTGAGCCAAGGGGGTTTCTCAGTCCACTGACTGCCTTTCCTGTGGGATGGACTTTCTTTATACTTCGAGGATTGTGTCCTTAAGGAACAACCATTCCTCAGGGACTCTCCTTTCTGAGAGGCCATGGTCTCTTAGTGCCTGACTGACCAGTCTCCTGAGTTTGTGAAAGTCAGTCTTCCCAAAGTTGAGGATTTCTGTTTTATTGAGAAATTTGCCTGGCCTGCATTGGACAGAGAAAGTGACCAGTTCATAATCACTGTCACAAAGCTGCCCCTCAATCCTCAGATCACTCACCAAATCATCCCCTTTGGCCAGAACCAGATCCAGCAGTGTCTTTCCCCTACTTGGCCTGTAGACCTCTTGCATTAGGTAGAGATCATCAATGCAAGCAAGGAAGGTATGTGACCAGTCAGATTTGACCGTGTGCTCTTCCCACGAGATTCACAGATTCATAGATGCTAGGGTTGGCAGGGCCCTCAACAGATCATTGAGTCCGACCCCCTGCCTAGGCAGGAAAGAGTACTGGGGTCAGATGACCCCAGCCAGATGCCTATCCAGCCTTCTCTTAAAGACCCCCAAGGTAGGAGACAGCATCACCTCCTTTGGAAGCCCATTCCAAATTTTGGCCACCCTTACCATGAAGAAGTTTTTCCTAATATCTAGCCTAAATCTGCACTTCGTCAGTTTGTGACCATTGTTCCTTGTTACCCCAAGAGGTGCCCTGGTGAACAGAGCATCTCCATTCCCTTGCTGCATCCCCCTAATGAATTTGTAGGCAGCCACAAGATCACCTTTCAGCCTTCTCTTGCGGAGGCTGAAGAGGTCCAAGTCCCTCAGTCTTTCCTCATAGGGCTTGTCCTGTAAGCCCCTGACCATATGAGTGGCCTTCCTCTGGACCCTCTCGAGTCTATCAACATCCTTCTCGAAGTACGGCGCCCAAAACTGGATGCAGTACTCCAACTGCAGTCTGACCAATGCCGCATAGAGGGGAAGTATCACCTCCTTGGATCTATTTGTCATGCATCTGCTGGTGCATGATAAAGTGCAGTTAGCTTGCTGATGATTTTGTCACACTGGCGACTCATGCTCATCTTGGAGTCCACTATGACTCCGAGATCCCTTTCCACTCCTGTGCTGCTGAGAGGGTCACTTTCCAGCCCGTACGTGTGCTGGATATTTTTGCGCTCTAGGTGCAGCACTCTGCACTTGTCCTTGTTGTACTGCATCCTATTGTGTACTGCCCACTTTTTCAACCTGTCCAGGTCTGCCTGCAACTGTTCCCTACCCTCCAGAGTGTGCACTTCACCCCACAATTTAGTATCATCCGCAAACTTGGACAGAGTACACTTCATGCCCACATCCAATTCACTGATGAAGATATTGAAGAGTACAGATCCAAGGACTGAATCCTACAGGACCCCACTACCCACATCCTTCCAAGTTGATACCAACCCGTTTGCTACCACTCTCTGGGTGTGATTGCTAAGTCAATTTGCCACCCACTGGACCATGTAAATATCTATATCACGGCCTCTTAATTTATTTATGAGAATGGGATGAGATACCATATCATATCGAAGGCCTTGCTAAAATCCAAAAAAATGACATCCACCTCTACTCCTGCGTCTAAGCATTTTGTGACCCTGTCATAAAATGAAACCAGATTGGTCAGGCATGATCTACCTGCTATGAATCCATGCTGGTTTCCCTGCTACATTATTTTTCCCACTGGACTCCCACAGATACGATCCTTCATAATCTTTTCAAAGACCTTAACAAGGATGGAAGTGAGACTGACTGGTCTATAATTACTTGGATCCTCCTTCCTCCCCTTCTTGAAAATAGGGACCACACTGGCCCTTCTCCAGTCCTCTGGGACCTGACCCGAGCACCATGAACGCTTGAACAACCGTGCCAGTGCTTCTGCTATGACACTGGCCAATTCCTTCAGTACTCTCGGATGCAGCTCATCTGGGCCTGCTGACCTGAACACATCCAATCCATCCAAGTGACTCTGCACCAAGTCAGTGTCAACAGTTGGTGGGCTGGTGTCCCTCTGATGCTCGTCTAAGAGCATCATTAGGAGACTTATCCTGACTCCTGTTCAAGACCACTGAGGCAAAAAATGCATTGAATAACTCAGCCTATCGAATAGCTCTCCCTCAGAGATGTCAGGGAGGTTGAAGTCACCCATAATAACGTGCATACAGAGTTTGCAGCCTCAGACAGTTCCCTGTTGAATTCAAGATCTAGCTCTTCCTCTTAGTTGGGAGGTCTGTAACAGACTCCTACAATTATGTCCCCTTCCCCATACTCTCCCCATATTTTACCCCAGAGGGTCTCAAGACGCCCTCCTTGGTTGCTAAACTCAGTTTGAATGGAAGTGTACTGCTCCTTCACGTAGACAGCTACACCCCCACCCCTCTTCCCAACATGGTCTCTCCTGTACAAGGTATAGTCTTCTATACCTATGAACCAGCTGTAGGTGGAGTCCCACCAGGTCTCCATTATCCCTACGAGATTGTAATCTTTGTCACTCAGGAGAAGGGCTAGTTCCTCTTGCTTGTTTCCCAAACTCCTGGAGTTTGTGTACAGGCAACTGAGCCTGCCATGGAAAGCCCTAGGCTTCCCCGTATGCTGGGATGTGACCTTTCCTTGGCTGTCATCAAAGTAGGTTCCCTTGGGCTACCTAACTTGTTAATACTGTGGTTGATGTGACCTGTGCTTGAACTGTTAGTTGACTGCCCATCTCCCAGTGATCCTAGTTTAAAGACCTGTCAAGTAGGTCAACCATTCTGGCTGAGAAGAGCTGCTTCCCTTTCAGGGTGGGGTGGAAGCCATCCCTTCCCAACAAGCCACTGCCTCTCTCCCTGAAGTGTGTACTGTGATCAGAGAAGCTGAACCCCTCATAATGCCACCATCGCCAGAGTCTTCTGTTAATCTCTTCAGTGCACCTTTCCCTCTGATGCCCGTGACCCATGACCGGGAGGATCGAGGCAAAAACTACCTGCAACCCCAGACCATTGAGCTCAGCCCCCGGAGCCCTGTAATCACTCATGACCCAGCTGGGATTGTTCTGAGCAGTGTCATTCATGCCAGCATGGATGAGAAGCGTGGGGTGGTGGTCAGAGGGCTGGATGAGTTTGGGGATCCTCTCAGCTACATCCCAGACACAAGCCTCTAGGACGCAGCAGACCTCATGGCCTAAGGAGTCATGGCGACAGATCACTCCCTCTGTCCCCCTCAAGAGGGAGTCACCCACCACAAACACTCTGTGCTTTCTCCTGGGTGTGGCTGCTGATGGCCCTCCATCCTGACATGCTGGAGCCAGCAGCTTGACTGGCTCCGCTGATGTAAGGGGATCAAATTAGTTGCACAGCTCCAGGGGAATAGTAACCCTGGTGCAGTGCCTCCTTGGGTCAGAGACTACTTTTGTCCAGGCAACCCCTGGATGGACTTCATGGTGGCTCTTCATTTCCACCCTGGCATCGCCAGCCATCCTTACTCTTTCCACTTCGTTCTTCTGGTGGAGAACCTTGTAGTAGGCATCCAGCTCCTGTACATCCGTAATGGTGCGCAGCCTCTGCAACACTGCCGGAAGCTCCCTAATCTGGCTCCCCAAGACCTCCACCATTGAGCGCACTCCACAAGGGGAGGTGTCAGTGCTCATACACCCAGCTGCCTGTATCCGTGCTAGGCAGCCTCCACAGTTGGAGGCCAGAGGCTCCATCTGGGTGGAGGCTTGGGCTGTGGGTTCCACCCAGGTGTGAGCAGGGACTGCAGGCTCTGTTTGGGTAGAGGCTGGAACCATAGGCTTCATCTGGGTGGAAGTCTCAGTGGTACCAGAGCAGGAGAGAAGGTCCAGCTGTAGGGGGGAATTTCAGGGTGCAACACGTTCCTCCCAGGTAGTAGCCCTGGCTACTGCTGTGCCAACCCATCTCTTGAGGCTCACTACCTAGAACCTCATGCCTCTCCTGCTTGCCCTCCTATGCTAACTCATGCACCAGGCCCAGAGCACTCCTGTTTGTGCACTCTGTTTGCACATTCTGTTCACGTAGCTCCCTGGGGGGCTGGGCCAAGTAGGAGCCGGGTGGGGGCATGGTCCTCCTCGGCTCCTCTCAGCTGCCTCCTGCAGCTGGCTAATCCCCTCCCACCACAGGCCCCACTTACCTCCCAGCTGTGCTGGGGGGCAGGGTTAGAGTCCACCATGTGTCCTTCTGTGGGGGCCCTGGCTCACAGGGGCGCAACAGGCTTCTGCCCATGCATCTCACTCTGGAGCCAGTGCCAAACTGACTTTGCTACTTCAAAATCAGTTTCCTAGTTATATTTTTCCAGTTAAGGCTAATTAACTTTCTCTCGCATAAAACTGGACTTAGAGAAACAGTAGGGAAAGAATGATAAGTGTTACATAGGCAATGAAATAAACAGATGACTGATTAGGTTTAGAATAGTATAGGCAAAAAGACATGCTTTTAATTTAGTTCTTCTCACACATTATACTGTTAGCACCCAGTTTAGAAAGACTACCAAGCAGTCCAATAACAGGTCCCTTACATTAAACAGTAGCCTGCTCTGGAATTATTCTTACTGTAGTCAAGGGAATATTCAAGGAGCTCAGTACTGCTCAATGCAAGTACAAGTGATAGAATCAAACCCCAAATGGATAATATGTGCAGTTTCTCAAAGACAGATTAAACTGGAAATCTTTTCACTGACACGTTCCACATGTTTCTATGTCTTTACTGCTAATACATTTGAGCTCTTCTAAACTTTGTTGTGACATTTAATTGAGTGGAGAGTTAAATAACAATCATTCCACCTGTGGAATTATATTTGTTAGCCATCCATGTATATGCTTTCCCTTTAAATTTCTAGAAATATGTTGTATTTAGTCAATACCCATTTTATAGAAACCTCTGCCTGCGTAGGCACTTCTCCTTAGACAGATAATTCTTCTGGAGCATCTTGTTCAATCTCCAGGGCTCTTCATGTGCCTGCCTTGAGTGGAGAAGTAGGCAAACTCACAGAACATTTGAAAAATAAACCACTCAGAATCATTTGGTCATTCTCGTCTTCCAGCCCTGTTTGATAGATTCAGCAAATAAATCCATCCCAGATTTCTGGCAATTGGCCAGTTCCAGTGAGAAGAAGCACTACTATCCACTCTCTAAAAAAATTGCATTGAGTTGGATAGAAAGACAACTCTTAACAGATGGCATAATCCTCCAGGATAAAACATTTCCCTTCTCCAGCATCAGGGGTTTTTGTTTAGTTGGTTGCATTTTTTTTGGTTTGTTTCTTAAAGTAGGCTGGTTAACAACAACTAAAAGACAAGCATCAATTTAAAAAGAAGAGTTTCTAGCAAGTCGTTTTATCTTCATGCCCTTTTAAATAAAGCCCAGTTTTTTTCTCCAGACAGACTTTTCCCCCCAACACATGCCTGTTAAAAGGATGGGTTAAAAAATAATTGGCAAACAAGCCAGATGCTTATTATCTGCTTGTATTTTTATGATATGGAGATTGTTTCTTCTCTTCATTTTCAATAACTTCTTGCTTGTTTTTAATAACTTTCTGGCCAGTCTAGCTAAGAAGACTAAAGATGTCAGAAAGGTTCCCAGTCTGTGCCAACCACAAATGATCAAATCTGTGTGTGCATTCATTTGTGAGTGCTCACACATGATATATATAGAGAGATTTTACACACATGGAGACACCTACACACTACAGTACCACTATACAATGCATACATGCACGCTGATGCATGCATACACACCCGGGCAGACATCAGCTTGATGCACTGTAGTGTCTCTCTAGAGACCTCCATGGGATAAACAAAGGTGTGTGCTGTGCACACTGCAGAAACCCCAAAGACTTGGTATACTTCTGTGGAGATACCTACCTGCAAACGGGCACACTGATGCCTTCAGACCCATACACATGCATGCTATGGCACATAGATACATGCAGGACATGGGGGGTGTATATGTGTGTGTGTGCATGTGCATGCATGTATACATGCCTTTATGCTTTCTCTGTGCAGAGTTCTGTGCAGGTGTGAGCATCTATCTTTGTCTCTGTAAGAGGTAGGCAGACAGAGGGACTGGAGAGGGAAGGGGGTGCCTGCAGACACACACATTCACACACACATGCACACACAAGCATGCCAAACACATGCACACTCACAAACACACACACAGGCATGCACACACAAACATGCACACATGCACACAGAGTCACATGTACACACAGGCATGCACACACGCAACTCATATGTACACACACAAACATGCACACATACATGCACGTGCTCACATGTACACGTACTCACATGCTCTCACATACAAGCATGCACAAATGCGCACAGACTCACAGGCATGCACACGCGCCCACAGACGCTCATATGTACACCAACATGCGCGCGCACACACACACACGTACACACACATGCACACACGTTTACATGTACATACACAGACTCCTGTGTACACACGCACGCTCACACGTACACACACATCTAGGCGCACGCACGCAGCCCGCCGGCGGGCGCTGGCCGGCGCGCGGTGCTGGCGGCG